GGAGGGACGTAGAGGGCTTTATGTCATACATGAAAAGCTAGATTTTTCAAGGACTGTTATAGGCGAGGAGCATGCAGAAGCTGGCAGTATGGCAATCTCAGGCACGTAATTACTTCTCATGCATTTACCATACTAATTGAATAGTCTGTGGCTCACCCGGTTTCGAGAACGCTCTTCGAAAAGCGGTCATCAAAAGCAAAGACGAAATATATTTCACAAACGTTGGGATCCACGCTAGTGATACCGATTTAAGTACGCAGTCGTAATTAAGGGAAGAAACTCTAGTTAGAAAGACAAGTAAACAATGGATATGCGGAAAGACATTCTTATCTTCAACACGCTGAAGAGTTAAGCTAAAAGTAGAGAATGTAATGTGTAGAGCATGAGCGAACGTCGGTTGTGTAAGAAGATCAAGCTGACGAGTAAGGTCTTCCTCTGACGGTAGCGTGATAAGTCCGATTTTATCATCATTGGGGCCGTCTTGCGGTTGGGTAAGAGCCTCGATTTCTCTTCTAAACTTGATGTCGAAATGCTTGCGAAGGACTGCACTATCTTCTCCGTGACTAAAAAGACTCGAGATGTTTATTACAGCAATATATATGCCTTGATATCCCCATTTTGCAGAGACCCGACTGATATGAGGGTCCAACTGGCGGAGATAATCGTTAGTAGTAGCATCAAATGTCTCAAGAGATTCTTTGGTAATGAGTATGCCGTGAGCCTTGATGTAAATCATGTCAATATCGGCTGCATATCATGTCCGAGTAGAACTAGAGCCTAGGTGGATAGAGATCCGTAGACTTTTCGGTCTTCCCTTCGTGGGGCGACGAAAGAATCAGAGATGGGGCTATCGCTATGTACTTGCAGGGATGGACATTCGCAGTCTTCAGTTACCGAATGCGGGAATTGTTTAATGGCTTCCCTGACGCCGATACAGGCGGTCTCAGTCTGTCGCATTCCTAGTAACATGTCATGTGTCCCTATTGGCACACAAGCAAGGCAGGGTCGAGACCCGATTCCGGGCCATTGAGGGCGCACTGCTATTTTCAATTCTAAGACTAAATTTGGGTCAGCGCAAGATGTACATGACGAGAATCATATAAGCTTCATAGACAAAGTAACAATACTTTATACGCCAGATACCAAAACCACCTCAACTACAACCCTCGTAGTCATTTGGTCACTCCTGCGATTTGACATGTCTATGCAGGCGGAAACGAAACGAGACACTGTCTGGCCTGGAAGCAGCTCCAGCTCGTCTATTAATTATGCGACAAAATACCAGAATTTGTCCATCTCACGTAAATTTGGGTGGGGGAGACATCGTGCGACATGCGAATGCCAAGCTCGTTAGGTTCTAGGAAAACGACGGATTACTTCGGCTAAACTATTGATACATGATTACTCAGTAAATCTTTGTTCAGAACGCTTAGAGCACTGAAATATACTGTACGCTTGAGAAACCCTCCTTGCCGAGGGGAATCAGTGGCAACTCGTTCTGTGACAGAATACGCCTTACCATTCTACCTGACTATTATCGACATTGAAAGAAGTCTAAACTTACCGTCATCATGTCCGCTAACAATGCTCTGACACCCCGTGTATTCCTTTTTCGCCATGGTTAGTCCACTATCAGGTTGTATAATAAACTAATCGTTGACGATGAGTGCCTGGTAGGAGAAACCGAATGGGCCAAATTGGGCCGTTTCACCAGCACTACTGATATCGCCTTGAACCCAACTGGCTCTGCTCAAGTTTCCGGAATGGCTATGATGCTCGTGGGACCGGGAAAACTCCTCGACCCGTGTCGCCTTGAGCGCATCTTTGTCAGTCCAAGGAGAAGAACCAAACAGACCTTTGAGTTATTGCTGGGACCTAAATCAGATTTCGCCGAAGGAAAATATACCTACACCGAGGACATCACGGAGTGGGATTATGGCGATTATGAAGGGCTTAAGGACCACGAAATCAGAATCCTCAGGCAAGAGAGGGGTCACGACAAAGAAAAGAAGTGGGATATCTGGACAAATGGATGTGAGGGTGGAGAGTATGTTAAGCACTACTCTAGATGATGACCTGCTTCTCATTCTATAAAGATCGAGACACCAAGTTGAGGAACGGCTGGACAGGATTATCGTACAAATCAAAGAGATTCAGCAGCCTCATATGCATGGGGAGAAACCTGCTGATGTCCTTGTTGTATGTTCTCACGCCATCATTCCACCATCTGTTCAGTATGCCTGGATTCGTCCATTGCGACTAACAAATGATCACTACAGGTTGCACATGGCCTCATCCTTCGCTGTTTTACGAAGCGGTGGATCGGCTTATCGATTAATAATCCGCTGCCCATCATGCTCGAACCTGGGGCGATCTCTGTTTTGAGGTACGTCTATTAATTAGACTTTTGGTGTCATGGTGTTAACGGTAATCCACTACTTAATTATAGTTACAAAAATAATAACGTTAATGAGCCGGCCTTGCACGTCGGCCTAGCGTTTCCGTTTGAAGGAGATGCAATACCAGCGGGGCATATGGAAAAGATTCCAGCTCTAGATTAAACACCGTGCTGCGTGTCTGCATAGATCTAAGGATGGGGCCGTTATGACAATAGTCTCACGAGACCACTTCTCTGTCTATCAGGGTGCTCAAGAAAACATGCGAATTGGTATGTACATGTTGAACCAAAGTCGACCTCCTTGGATATACCGCATTACCTATGGAATGGAATACAATATATAGATTAAGTGAGGATAGTAGCTGTTGTAATTACAATGAGCCCTGTGTCACTCATTATAGCAATCTCATCACCAATCTTTAAATGCCATAGTGCGGCTTTAGTGTCTAGGGGCCGTGCCTGGGGGTGCGTGTTTCAATGGAGGCTATACCAAGTTCAAGGATATAAATATTGGGCTCATGCTTGCCTGCCAGGCATGGCTTTATATTCGCCAGAGAATTCGACGTGAGGCGATCCACGTCTTCAAAGCGTACATTCGATGTTGTAGGGTCCATCGATCGACATCGATCCCCCATCCCATGTTGGTCGCTGTCAGGACATCAGTGTGGAATTCGCTTCCATCCACAGAGCAGGCGGCTTACCTAGCGACTCGACATTCGTAATCACACCCCTGCGCGCCTGTTTCAGCCATTAGTCTACTACACCATCATCATGCTCTCGCCCAGCTTGACTCAAAAAATAGCACGTGCGTTCTCGAGTCATTAGAATGCAGAGAGACATAGACCATACCTGGAAGATACCAAACTTTGGCGCTGAGACCTGAGATCTCTTCCACTGTGTGAAGACATTCGCTTGACCACTGGCGGAAGAGAGGAAGATAGGAGCCCTCTGTGATCGTAGGTCATGAATGTAGTGTCTCCCGGTAGTCCTGGGTTTAGGCACAACTCTATCAGCTCCGCTCAGTTCCAAAGGACAAGATAAAGCCAGTGCCGGATCACATTGTAGCCTTTCCTGGCATGAAATATGCGATGCGGCGGCATGACCGTAGAACATCATGCGGATAGCCACAGAGAGGGTAGTACCTTGCAACACGAGAAAAAGTTGAGGAGCGTCGTGTGTTAAGAGCTAGCAGCTCTGATGCGAAGCTCCAAGCCGCATCATATCTTGTAGTAGTGCCGTATATATCTGTCGCAACTGCAGATTACGCTTGCCAAGACATTACATAGATCAGCCCGGTCAACCCGGCCGCGGACTTAGACATCTACAACAACCAACTCGTTACACACATTTAACCTTATCGTGCATCAGAAGACAAAGACCAGATCTCGTCACTCTTCTCCACTAGGTCCATGTAATTGAACGGAAGACAGGGAATGGTAAATCAGACATTGACTGCGATGATTATGTCCCCACAACTACGCGCTACCGGATTTTGATAGGATTTGGAAAATAGTTTCGTTAGACGTCAAACTTAAAGAAACTCTCTCGATGAATCTGGAGAAGAATTCTTAATTCGAAGGAGTCCCATAATCAGCCTGTGCATAGACTGTCACGATCAAATGAGGCAGGCTTTGCATAACACAAAGGCGGTTGCGGTTCTTTGTGGATCCGGTCTGAGATCATGCTCTTGAATAGCAGAAAGGCGGAAGTTGTACAAGCTCGGACAAATACGACGATGCATTGCGTCTCTTGTACACAAAAAATATGAATAATCCAAATGTTCCCATGCAAGGCTCGTGCTCGTGTTATTAGGACATCATTGAGTCCGCCGCACCATCGTGAGCAGGGCATATGGCTCCAAGATTTTTTAAACACAAACAAAACAAGAGAGAGGACCAAACTTGGCATGACGTGGCTAGCTTTTTTTGACTGATTCGAGTCGAGCGTGACTTCATTGCTTGCCTTTCGCTTTAATATTGGTTGGCCTTTTAGGCCGTCATCTGTCGATGTTGTTGAGGGAGTATAATGTGATTGCTGGGGTCCGCTGGCTGAGGTGAGTACATAGTCACATTAAGATCAATGATTGCCTGCTGAAGAGTGGCATACTAGATATAAAGTCAACACCAAGGAGCTATCAGGAGACTATATATTATCAGAGCTATCTATGGATTATAAATGTATTCGGGACATACTGCAAGCTGCCAGGCTCACTTCGGACTGAACGCGACATGCATGCAGGCCTTGCATGTAGCGGAAAGATGAATGAGGGTAACCTAGAACAAGTCACGTGTAGAGAGTATAACGAGAATAAGGAAATGTACACGACGATAGCAGGCAAGTCTCTGCAACATATGTCTAAGGAAGAAACGCTGGCCATTCTGTCCGGTCGTGTGTGATTGAGCTATAATCAAGCTGTGTTCGCGACGATCTAGTGCTTTTGCCGTCTCCAGATGAACTGTTAAACCCCTTGAACTGCATTGGTGATTTTGCTTCTAGAGCCTCGGCTTCGGATCTCTTTAGCCTCATCCACTTCCCTCGGACAGTGTCATCGCTTGCAACATCGCAGGAAATGGTTTTCGCATCATTAATCATCTCTTTGAACAAGACAGGACAAATACCCGCGGACTGGTACCGAGAATAGTGTGATTGTATGCTCCACCTACTTCAAAGCTCAGCACGACGATTGCTTAGATTCAATCACGCAATCTAAAAGTAGCATCATTACAACCGAAAGCGAGGATTCGAAATAGACCGAACAGGCTGGATAGAGACTGGTCATGGCTCAGTAAGGGCATGGATCTCGAATCAGTGATACCGACTCAGTACGGTCATGGCTCAGCATATTAGTTTGGATACTTTAAGGTATGTTTTCTATACTACAAGTTTCATTCCGTAAGGGATTATCTTTTAGTCAATCTTTTAGTAATATTCGATCCATTTCGGGGGTTCACCGCTTGGACTCCTGAGTCCATTGGCATGGAAAGAATGCTCAACTTCTTATCATCATGTTCTAGGCATACCGACAGTGAAAGCCCCTTAAGTATAGTAGAAAAGCAGCTATAAATAGGAGAGGCACGGAGTGAAAGCGACAAGATCCGGTCCGAGGTCCGAACCGGGCCGTCATGTTAGCCTCTAGATATAGCATTGAGAAGACTTTTGTGCGTGTGCGAGATAGACAGATCATCCGACGTCTGAGATTCCGTTACCGGTCGTGCGAAGGAAGTCCTCAGCCGTCTGCTTGATCCAAGTATACGCCTGGGTCCCCGAAATTGTAGGAGCCACAGACCTCGTTCGAAGTCCTAGAAGACAACCCGGAATAATTGAGCTGCTGGGGTATGTAGACAGCATAGGGGTCATCTGAGAGGACTTCACACTCTGTTTCTGCTCCTAGGGAAGTCGCTGACAATGGTTCGAGGGGCGTTTGCGACTGCATCTTGCTGTCAAGGCGGACGCTAGAAAGTCAGTATCCTCCAGAATTCTGCCGGGCGTAAGTACAACTAAGAGTGCTTTAAATACTAAGTTTCGAAAAGACTGATGTCCGGAAGAGGCAGTCTGAAAAGGCGCAGGCCCCACATGCCGACGCTGTGTGCCATTTCGCTGTTGTATCGTACTAGGTATAAGTTGATTGATCCCTGCAGTGATGAGAGCTACAGGGCGCGCAGGAAGCGTCTCTGTAAGGCTCAGTAAGTAGGCAAC